CTGTGGCCAAAGAAGAAATGGGTTTTTTTTCTCCCTCTTTCCCTCCCTGGAGGTACAGGACTCAGCCACCCACCACTAAGAGGGAAGAGCAGCATCTCAGAGGAATTAAGCAGCCCCATCTTTTTCTCCTCCTGGAGGTACCCAAATACATTTTCTGGCACAGTCCCAGCCTGTGCCAGGTCCTTCAGCAGGCAGCACGGCAGCTCCAGGTCTCAGATAGCATCCCCTGATGGTACTGGTTTAGCCTAACCTTCCTGCCAGGCCCCTTCTCCTGGACACAACCTGACACCAAATTCATTTTAGAGGAACTTTTTTGGGGGGAAGGGTTTGCAACCCCAAAGCCAGGATCCAATGTTCCTCTCCTTCTTGTGTTAACCCATCTGTGTCAGTGGAGCAATTCCCTCCCCTGTGGGAAGGGCAGCAAATATATCGTATATGCAGAGCAGAGCTGGCAGGAGGCTTTGAAAATTGCTGTAAAATATTTACAGCCAAACCCTAGGAATACACATGGGTGGAAATGAGGGGTCTAAAAATAAACCAGCCAGGGAAAAAGGAGAGAGATACAGGCTTTCTTCAGAGGCAATTGGAGAGAAAATTGAAGTAGTGTAACTGCCTCCAAATATAGAACACAATTATGGGACTTAAGGGGCATGTTGAACAAGAAATCACCACAAAAAATCATGAGGCTGCCATGGCTCAGAGCTAGTGGTGTCTCAGCAGATGTAGAGCATCACAGATCCCTGCAAACCAAGGAGCAGTAAAACATCCCCCTGCATGGGCTGCGCTGGGAAAACCTGCAGCTCCTTTCCAAGGGACCTAGAGAGTAGACTGTGATGATGATGCCTGGTGTGGATCAGCTGCACCAAGCACACCTCAAGGTTTGGCCACACCACTGCTCTGCACCCCAGCCAGGAGTGCAGCAGCAGGAGGCCCAAGAGCTGCAGCCTTCTTGCAATGCAGATACTGTTGTGCCAGCCCCATGTGGACTTCTTCATGAACAGACCTCACAGATGCTGAGGAGAGCCAGGCAGGGAGATGGGGTCGCTTTGGGAACACAGCTACTCTTCTATGTGTCTGGTTTCCCCAGGGATCCTCACCCTTGGTGACCTCCCACACATGTCCCTTCCAGGGGATCAGGTGCTCTCTTCCCATTCCTGTCCATCTCACCACACTCCAGGAGCTGCTGGAGGAGATAAGTTGGGTGACCAAAGGCAATGAGGAGTCACAGCCTGTCCCAAGAGTAACAGGAGGGTGGAGAGATGCACAGTACTGCTGCTTTCATCCAGCAAGGCTTGGGGCTGCGCAGAAGTGGGACATGGTGTGTCCAAAGGTTACATGGCAAATGTCACCCAATCAGGATTCGACCCTACCGCCTTTATCCCCAGTCCTTTGCACATTGCTGTTGGGTCACATGGGCCCTGTGGTAGGAGGGCAGGATCCTTTAGCCTTTAACCTTTTGGGAAATCAGTGTTGAGATGCCTTTATTCAGGGTGAAGTGTTGAGCCCTCTGGTCTGGCTGGAGTCCCCACAGCACGTGCGATGGATATTAGGGGTGGCCTGTGACCCAGTCAGGTCAGCCCCAAGGCAGTGGGCATCCTGGCAGTGTTGGAGCAGAAGCAGCCCAGGCTGTGGATGTGCTTAGCCTGGCCTTTAGCCTGGGCATCACTGTGAGGACCAGGGACTTCTTTTATGGCTCTGTGCATTCCTATGAGGTTGACTCAGAGCAGTGTGTAGCAGATCCCTCTCCTACTAGGTCAGTTCAGCTGGGACTTTTGGGCATCTATTCATCTCACTGAGCAGGAACAAGGTGTGGCATCTGAGCTGGACTGAGTCATGGGTGCAACCTCAGGAACTATGCTTCCTGTGAATACACCATATTCTCAGTGATTCCCCTACATGAGGGCTAGCCAGAGACACAGACCTGCCATGGAAGAGCTGAAGAAGGGACCTGTGTTGTGAGTGGGCAGATGTTGCTTGGCAGCACAACACTTGCAGAACTGGACCCACCACATCTTCACTCTACTGCAAAAGTCACTGAAATCAGCGCCAGCATGTGAAGCATGTGCCATGCATCTTGGCCTTTCTTGGCACAACAGAAAGCTTCCACAGGTGGGGTGAAGAGGGATCTCCTGGTTTGCAGGTAGAGAAGGAATGGCATCCCCTCCGGAGACATGTGGGTAGCATCCACTCACCTCAGTGAGCCTCCACTCCTGAGCACTGCAGTGAACATCATATGTCCATGCCAGGTAGAAAAACACCCACCTCTGGGTCTCTACAGCTATAAAGATGTTTACAGAGCCAGAGCATCATTCACATGAGGAGAGGCTGAGAGAGCTGGGACTGTTCAGCCTGGAGAAGAGAAGGCTCAGAGTGACCTTATCCGCGTGTATGAATACCTGATGGGAGGCAATGAAGAAGAGGGAGCCAGACTCTTCTCAGCAGTGTCCAGTGACAGGACAAGAGGCAATGGGCACAAATTAAAACTCAGTCTGAACACAAGAAGACACTTTATTGCTTTGAGGGTGACCAAGCACTGGCAGAGGTTGCCCAGAGAGGTTGTGGTGTCACCATCCCTGGAGATATTCAAAACCTGACTGGGCATAGTCCTGGGCAACTGGCTCTGGGCGAGCTGGTTGAGCAGGGGAGTTGGACCAGATGACCTCCAGAAGTCTTTTCCAACCTCAGCCAGTCTGTGATTCTGTGTATGGTACCTGTCACAGCTCCCCATTTGCCCCTCAGATTGTCTGAGATTAATGCAGCCCACAGCTTGTTATTTCATATTTTATTTCTAATATAAAAAATGTTCAAGTGTTAAACAGTCAAGAGTTCTGACATTCAGACAATCCAGAGCAAACTTTGACAATCATCTTATGACAAATTAGCAGAGTTTTCTATCTGACCCCATCATGGGTGAGGAATAGAGGGTTTAGTTACTTTATTGCTAAAAGTTAAATGAAATACACTGTCAATTGTTGTATTATCTTCTCAGTCACAGCTTGACCATGCATCCAATCTACAGTATCTGAAATGCAAAGGACATGCAGAAGTAAAAATATAAAAAGAAAAAAGTCAGGCTACAATGTAAACAGGTTTGCTGCAGAGAACTGAGGAGAGAGGGGCACTTCCATGGGGGATGCTCTGCCACCTGGACACGCAGGACTGTCTCTTTGCACCACAGAGCCAATGGCCAGAGCTGCTTCAAGTTCAGAAACACAACATCCATCATCGATGGCAAGACGTGGTGGTAACAACTGTCTTTACAACATACAGCATGGTGGTACAGAAGAATCCACCCACTGGGCTGCCCCATGCAGGGCCCTTCCTGGCCAAAGCAAGGGCAACAAGCAGGGCCAAAAGTGCTCGGGCTCCTGCCAAACCCTGGGGCAGCACGGCTGGCAGCTGCCCGGCATGGCGTCCAGGGCAAGCTGCAGCTGTGCTGTGCAGCAGAGCCACCCTCTGGGTGTCCTCCCGGCACCACCTGAACCGCGGCCGAGCACGACACGCAGGATGGCACAGCCCTGCCAGCCCTATGGCACCATGGCATGCAGTGCCATGGCCAACGCCGCACCGCAGCTACATCACTCAGTCAAGGGGTTGCCGCGGCCAGCACAGCACTGGTATGGCAATACAGCCATGGGGCGCCATAGCTGAATGGAGGACGCCCTGTTGGGACCACCATGCAGTGCTCTCTGCCTGCCAGGACTGGCTTCAGTGAACTGGATTCAACCATACGTAATGGGGTATTATTTCATACAGGTGTCTGCCTCGTTTGACTACAACGCTGTGCCAACCCAACTTCAGACCCACAGATGAAATGGCCAAAGGTTGAGAGCTATATTGTAAGGGCTGCTGTGCAATTTCATTTTCTCTTCCTACCGGTGTGGCAAAAGAAACATTATTTCTGCATTTCAGTATGGTGCTGTTGGGTTTCTTTTTCTCCTGATGTAAGCGAAAAGACAAGTATCTTACAGGGCAAGACAGATCCCCATTAGACATGATAATGGAAATGCTCCCACTCATGTCCTTGATGTGTGTTTAAATGATACCTTAAAGAATAAGATCATTAATAGCAGGGTACAGGGTAAAGTGGCAAGGCTGTTTTCTTCTGATGGAAGAGCGCCCTTGTGACAGGTTGTCTGCCAGACAAAAATCTATGATCTTAAAAATGCTACTGAAACAAAATCCTCGGCATGAATCCCAGCACTAGCATACAGCAAAAGGCACCACGATAGTTTTGTTTTCTATTTTTAAGTAGTCAAAAATTGGCCCACTTTTTTTAACTTTATTGTTTCTTTTCTTTTCTTCTTTTTTTTTTTTTTACTTTTTTGTTTTTTTTTTTTTTTTTTTTTTTTTTTACTTTTTTTTTCTTGGAAGCTGTAAATCAAGACATTACATATAAATAGAGATTCCCTATAAAAAAGTCATTGCCATTAGCTATTGTAAGACAACTTTGCTAAAATGAAAATAAAACATTTTATTTGTTATATTTTTCCCCTCTTTTATATAAAATAAAAATATTTATTTTTTGTTTTGTCTTGTCTCCCTCCTCGGCCTCCTCCACGCAGGTTACGTCTGCAGGCGCGCAAGTCTGGGAGGTGCCTAGAGAGGAGCCGGGTCCGGTTTGGGCGTCGTGTGAGCTAGGCTGCCGCGCCCG